ACGTATTTTTATCCCACATCGTTACCCTATATTTTTGAATTTACCAGAATCCGCGTGTTTTGTCGTGTGGCCAAATGTTTAAATAAATTTCATTAAAAATTTCCCAAAACCCTCTAACCTTTGGCATTTTAACCCTATTTAACAAAATGCACAAAACTTTTCCTCAAAATTACTTCTCTAAAGACTAAAAAAATTATTTTTTAGTCAAGCTTGTTGCGTGCATATTCTTTTTCAACCATGTTTCGCAAACATATATAATTCTACACATTTGCGAAATATCCATAAATTGTGCTCCAAACCCCGGGTGAGCAGGCAAAAAACCGATTTTCTACATCAAAATATAAAAAAATACCAGCGTAATCGGTGAATTTATGCACCCTAATGATTTCGCTATAGCGAAATAACAAAATCAGTAAACGCGGTATTGATACACTCTTAGGCAATTGGTATTAAATAAAATCGGATCAGTACTGGCCTGAGTACATATATGAGTCTACCGGCTTCGGTAATATCGAGCATTACGGTTCTGTAACGAGGTGGTAATAAAATATTTACCGCTCAGGAACAAACTAATACCACTCCGGTATGGAAATATTACCAAATCGATACCAGTAAGGAGTATATATGTGACTCTACCGGATTCTTTACAGTGTATGTGACTCTACCGTCTTGGTATTGAATGATTTGGTAATAAATTATTACTTTCAATACTAATATGGTACAAAATGTAATATCAACTAGTAATAAAATTATTACTAAAGGTATTATTTAAATATCGGATCTATACCACGGTAGTAACACTGTTTAATCCAACGCGGTTGAGGCATATATAAATACCGCTCATTTTGTTTAATACCCGGTTTCTAAGAGTGTATGGGCAACATCATTTTTAATGGTCAAAGTATATGAAACACGAAACCCTCCTTAAATTCATACATGTTAATAAATACGTAACTATAGCCAAGTTCCATTTTTTGAGTACAGTTGAATTATTTTCTGTCACAAAATAGTCCTCGAGACTTTTGACTAGTTCCAAAATATTACTTATCACTGTTTCGTCGAGATCCTCCAACATTTTAGCCCCATTTTGTGGCCGTACTGGAACCTGTACACTCCTTTTAACAAGCAAATTGCTAAAATATTTAGGATTGAAGTACAAAAGTAAGCAACATATATTTCGCGGTACAATGAATTGAAATCACCAGCCCACTTCCTTTTCCTGAACAAAAAGCGTGTAGTCGACTCTCTTCCTATATGGAACGGAGAGTACATATCGTCGTTCTAATTCTAAAAAGTCCTAAGTGCAGTCGATGCTTAATTCTAAAAAGTCCTAAGTGCGCAATAAAAATTTTAAAAAGTCCTAAGTCCAAGCATGTATTTAGTTATGGCTAAATCGCGCGATGTAGGAAGAATTGTTTTGGCAAGATATAGCCATAAGTAAATACATGTTTGCACTTAGGACTTTTCAGAATTTTTATTGTGCACTTAGGACTTTTTAAAATTAAGCATCGACTGCACTTAGGACTTTTTAGAATTAGAACGACGATATGTATTCTAATTAATGGGGAAGACGCAATTATTACTTTTAATCAAGCAAATTGGAAAGTGGGGTCCAAATTCAAGATAGTGGGCAAATTCTGATCCAAATTAATTTTTGGAATTAAATTTGGCCAAATTTGGACACTTTTTGGCCAAAATTTCAATATGACAAAATTAACCAACAAATTCGCATTTTAGCTTTCATCTCGAAAACTGCTGGGATATCCCACAAATATTATTGCGGATTCTTAATGTACACAAAATTACGCAATTTTTAAGCCATCATACAACAAAATCGTTGTGAGATCAAAAAGCACTATCCGATTTTATATGTCTATTAGTTCTAATAAATGATATCTCAAGAATATCGCAAAGCCCAGAACTTTGGCTGATAGGCGTTTCTTAAAAACGGTCACGGGGCCCCTAATGTTATGACGGATTATTTTTCTATGCCACGGGGCCCCCAATTTTATGACGGATTATTTTTCTATGTCACGGGGCCCCAATTTTATGACGGATTATTTTTCTATGTCACGGGGCCCCAATTTTATGACGGATTATTTTTCTATGCCACGGGGCCCCCAATTTTATGACGGATTATTTTTCTATGTCACGGGGCCCCAATTTTATGACGGATTATTTTTCTATGCCACGGGGCCCCCAATTTTATGACGGATTATTTTTCTATGCCACGGGGCCCCCAATTTTATGACGGATTATTTTTCTATGTCACGGGGCTACCAATTTTATGACGGATTATTTTTCTGTGTCTCGGGGCACCCAGTTTTATGACGGATTATTTTTCTGTGTCACTGGGCCCCCAATTTTATGACGGATTATTTTTCTATGCCACGGGGCCCCCAATTTTATGACGGATTATTTTTCTATGCCACGGGGCCCCCAATTTTATGACGGATTATTTTTCTATGTCACGGGGCCCCAATTTTATGACGGATTATTTTTCTATGCCACGGGGCCCCCAATTTTATGACGGATTATTTTTCTATGTCACGGGGCTACCAATTTTATGACGGATTATTTTTCTGTGTCTCGGGGCACCCAGTTTTATGACGGATTATTTTTCTGTGTCACTGGGCCCCCAATTTTATGACGGATTATTTTTCTATGCCAGGGGGCCCCCAATTTTATGACGGATTATTTGTCTATGTCACGGGGCCCCAATTTTATGATGGATTATTTGTCTATGTCACGGGGCCCCAATTTTATGACGGATTATTTTTCTGTGTCACTGGGCCCCCAATTTTATGACGGAGTATTCTTCTAGTACACATTCCAAACATTTTGCAGAATCACACATAAAAAATTTTCGAGCACATAGATAGTCCCTTTCCAACTCATATGTCTCGAATTGAAAGCTAAGAATCAACTTGTAGTTTTCCTTAACTATTTGGAACATGGGCTTATTAATCCCACAATTTACATTGCTGCGGTAGTGAATTTTTTGTATAAATTCTCTGGCAAAAATTGCAATAATGCATATACACCACGCTGCACCCGGGGGCCCCCGCTGCGCGGGGGCCCCTATGTCATGCCTACCCCACCTCCCCGGTTTATCCGCCACTGACTGCGACACGTCGACAACCCCGAAAACATGCTTTGCCCAAATTTCATGCCAATCGCCCAAAAAATGCCGAAATTAGGGTGTGGCGACGCTTTTAGACATGATGTCGACAAAGTGGCCACACCCCCGTGATGAACATGAGTTAAAAATTTCAAGGAGCTACGACAAACCGTTCTCGAGTTTTAATGTTGACGGACGGACGGACGGACGGACGGACAGACAGAGTAACTAACCCATCGTATAAAGTAGCTTGCGCTACTTAACAAAGCTGTATTAAAATATATTTTTGTGGCTGGAATTTCCATGCATTAATTTTCATGACGCTCCAAGTCCAACTTTATGACTGCAATAAGCCCTAGTGCTAGTACGGTCCAGTCTAACAATGGCAGTATCGTCACCCCACCAATACATACATACATAAGTCCAACTTTAACTTTACTTCTCGTTTGATTCAGGGCAAAGGGTTGTTAGAATAGATGTACACAATGAGATGATGATTTTTTCGCGCTCTAACGATTTTGCTGTATGATGGCTTAAAGTTTCCGTAACTTTGTGTACATGAAGAATCCGTAATAATATTGGGGGGCGCTTAGCCAGTTTTTGCGCTACAAGTCAAAATGTGCAAATTTTTTGCGAATTTTGAGAAATTAGATGAAGAAAAATTTTAGGAATATTTGTTACTCCATGCGTCATCACCAATATGCTGCAGTAATGTTAAAAAATATTAAAGTGTAGGGCTAAATGAAGTGAAAGTGGGGAATATTTTAAATATTAAACTATGCCAATTTTTAAACCCGTTTGATCCAATTGAACTCTTGCGAAAAGTAAATGGTTTTGAAAATTGTGATGCAGAAACAGAAATTTGTACAACAAATCAAATATGTTATAAAAATTATAATTATCAGCAGAATTATATTTTCTGTTTTGGTCACGATAATGTTTTTCCAAAATTTGGGGTTATCACTGACTTTATAATTACTGATGATAAAACATGTTTTTTACTACTTAATAAATTGGAAGTAGAATGTTTTGATCGGCATTGCTCTAGTTACAGAGTTAAAGTGAAAGATGATGTTTATCAATTATGTGACGTAGCGAAATTAGAAATCCATGAATGCATGGAATTTAAGCATAATTGCAATTCCAATGGAATTTTTGTATCTTTAAGACATCACATTTAGATGTTATTATGCATTAAAATAAATAGTTAAGCGTTTATAATATCTATATAATATTATAAACCAATTATTTGTTTATGTAACATTGTTTAATGTGTATGTATTTTACAAGTCGAATATATTAAAATGTGGCATTAATAAATCAAATTATTTGTTTCTAAAATTTGCTATCGAAATTCTTTTATTTCTTACCAATTTGTGACAAATTCATATAATCTGGTAAGAATAATTCTTCCAGTCCAGTGGAGTTTGCTACTTTGCGATAGTGTTCATATATTATGCGTCAACAAACTGGAGCTAGTTTCTTACAACTTTATGTCAGACTGCTACTGCGCATAGTCAATTTTGTTTCTTACTAACAATTAGCAAATTCTTACCAACCGGTGAGGTCATATATAGACACCACCTGGTAGAAATTTTGATGACTATTTTGTTTTGAGTGTCCGAGTGTGCAAGATTTGTGAAAGATAAACGCTCAGAAATTAACAGTCTTTATTATCAGTGCCAATCATTATGATATACATTATACATTGGTCCCAGTGATAAGTTTATATCTGAAATTGAAATGAATTATGTTCAAGTTTTGCGGAGATAAGAACTAGTGGTAAATTTGCATATCTCTGAATTGCGTCACGAGACTCGGTACTCATCGGCCGATTGTAGCCTTTAACGCATAATAATGGATGTTGTGCATTCTCTTCAACACGATATAAATCGTTCCATATTTAACATGCCTACAAGTTGCTTATTACAATTCAGCTGAATAAATTGACAAACCATAATAAAATTTAAATTAACTCTTAATTCAATGGAAATAGTAACCGTATCATTCCTATCCCCCAGTTTCTTGTATACATCTAAGACAATAGACAGATTTTGTGGCAACACATTTTTCTTTCGAGGCGATGACAAAGAAACTGGAGAATTGTGCCAAATTCAAATAATCTTGGTTAATGAAAAATTTGTAAAATATGGCCCTAAATTCATCTCTAAATGCGAATCGCTACTTGGAAAACAACATCCAAACGTGGCTCAAGTGTTGGAAGTGCGCTTATTAAAGCTTGCACCGTCTGACTTTCAAGAATTGATGGAACGGAACTGGGAATTTAAGGAAAGTTTGAATATTTACGAAATTAATTTTTGGCAATTTTAATTCAAGAACTTTTTGGTGAAATATTATTGTCACCCAAAAATAAATAGTTTTAAAATTTCATAACCAATATTACTTGAGGGGAACACTTGATCTATATCTTCCTATATTTTTAAAGACTATTTCACAAATCATACTGGTAAACAACATTTTTTACGAGAGTTGGAATACTTGTGAAATTAGGTTTTTTTTATTCCGTAAAATTTGGATGTGAAAACTATCTTTAAATTTTTCCCAAAACGTTAATACATAATTTCCCTCACTATTAATTCACAGATGGTAGTAATTTATCTCTAATTTTCAAAGTCATTGTGGAAACTGTAGGGATAATTGTCCAAATAATTTTGTGTCAACCTTATTGGAATTATTTTGGCTAAGAAATTTCGACGTTGAGAAATCGTTGATTATTTTGTGATGTTATTATTGAGAATCGGATAATAATAAATAGATTGTATTTATCTGATGTACCCAGTCCCAGTCGAAGCCATTCCAAACTTTGGGTTCACAAACCTTTCTTTCCTTAACGGATTCTTCGTCCAGCATAGTGGTCTCAACGGTTCCCGGTTCTCTCGGAACCGAACCCGATCCGGACACGGATCCGCTCTACGGTTCGGTTCTGTTTATGCGAAGAACCGAACCGAACCGAAACTTTCGTAAACGGTTCTGTCCCGGTTCCAAGTTTTTGTAGACCGAACCGAACCGAACGGTTCCGGGCGGACTCGATTTTTTCTCGATTTACGGGGTATAATGAATCAAGTGCTTGCGAACTTATTCAAAACTTTACAAATCAAAACAAAAATCTTCTCGAAGTTTGGTCGTTATTCCTACCATAACATCATAGCGGAATTAAATTGGTGAGTTACTTAATTCGTTAAATTTTGAATCCTTTAATATTAACTTTGCTGTGATTAATTAAATCATACATGATAGTAGAAAAGTACAGATATTTAATAAAATATTATTCTGTAGTCATAAAGATGAGCCATGCTGAAACCGATGTTGAGGAATTCTCTCAGGATGATCTTCCTTTGGACAGTCCGCCCAGTGACAGTTCACAGCCTTCAAGAAAACGCAGGTCACCGGTGTATTTACATTTTGATTTCGACCAAGAATCGTCGTCTTTTAATTGCAAGTACTGCAGGTACGCTAAAATCACAATTAGCAATCAATTTTAATGGTTGTAAAAAAAAATAAATAGAAAGTTAAATAATTGACGATGATCATAATTTTTATAGCAGGTCATACCAAAAACAAAAAGATGGATCAACCAGCGTATTATGGAAACATATTCGGGTGATGCATTCAGGTGTTATTGGAACTAATCAAAATCAGGCGGCAGTGAACGGATTATTAAACCCAGTTGAACCTGAGCCATTTACAACCGAGGGGCTACGGAGCAGAATTGTTGAGTTTATAGTTGTTGAAAGCCAGTCTTTCCAGCTCGTAGAAAAACCAGCTTTTCAAAATCTTTTGAAGTACTGTAACCGTGCCGCAGAATTTACATGTGCCAACACGGTATGTGTTATCGGTTGTCGGAATCACCCCCGTCGGTTGTCGGAAATCACCTCGGTTGTCACCCTCGAGCAGTTGTCAGATATCAGATATCGGAATTATCGGTTATCACCCTTATCGGTTGTCACCCTAGCAGTTATCGGAATGCCCATTTATTTTTAAACCCCCCCGGCCCCCCTCCCAAATTCTCAGGGTACCCCAAACACCGTCTCCCGTTGCCCCAAATTTCCCCGACCACCCCCAAATACCGTCTCACGTTACCCCAAATGTCCTTGATCACCCCCAATCACCATCTCACGTTACCCCAAATGTCCTTGATCACCCGCAATCACCGTCTCACGTTGCCCCAAATGTCCCCGACCATCCCCAAACACCGTCTCAAGTTACCCCAAATGTCCCCGACCATCCCCAAACACCGTCTCACGTTAGCCCAAATGTCCCCGATCACCCCCAAACACCGTCTCACGTTGCCCCAAATGTCCCCGACCATCCCCAAACACCGTCTCAAGTTACCCCAAATGTCCCCGATCACCCCCAAACAGCGCCTCACGTTACCCCAAATGTCCCCGATCACCCCCAAACACCGTCTCAAGTTACCCCAAATGTCCCCGATCACCCCCAAACCCCATCTCACGTTACCCCAAATGTCCCCGATCACCCCCAAACACCGTCTCACGTTACCCCAAATGTTTCGGACGACCCCCAAACCCCGTCTCATAAGGTTAGACTTAGGTGAGTTTTAAGTAGTATATGCTATGTTATCTAATTGACCCCAAGTTTGAACTTGGCATATGTGCAGTGGACTGCAGCTGCTTACTAAACTCATTTATAAAGGATTCACATGTATTGTCATATGAAAAATTATAAGTAAAGCACTTGAAAAACTATGAGAATTTGAGGTTATGGCATAAATTTATTATTTGGCAGATGAAGATATTTATATTACACCGTTTAAAATTTAACATGATTTGATGTAGTATTTTCATCGTCTATTCTAAGAATTAAACATTTTTCGGCGGAGTTATAAGATTAATAACGAAACTTCTTCGCAGTAATTGTATAAAAGTTCAGAAACTTTTAGAAATCAGAGAACTGAAATGATTTGAAGTGTTACCACTAATGCGTAGCTGCAACAAAGATTTAAGACAAAGTAGACATTTGAAGAATACAAAATTTCCAATATAGGTGAACATAACAAAATTCACAATATTCTTTGCATGTTACATATCCACTGATGTGTACTTCTTGTTTAAGGAAGTTTTACTGGTTGGTTCAATTTCTGCCATCTCAATTGGATGGTCAATTTTGTTTCGCCGACAGAATCTAAAAGCTGTCGTTATGAATTTGTACGTGCCGACCACTGACATGACGACTACAGATAGCACGGAATATACTTTAGCTCCAAAAATTAATAGCAGGGATCCAACCGATAACGCAGCCACGAACACAATAGAGTCGGAAAAGCTGATATTCCGTAAAAGTGACAGTACACTGTCAAGAATGATGTTGGAAGTACTTTGCTCTCCTTCCGACGTGGCTGACACCAATGAGACAATGCATAGGAGGTAAACTGGGCTCACAGGAAGGAAACCTCTGTGGGGATTACGTGTGTATGCGAAATAAGTTAATGCAAGGGTAATAATTGACAGCCAACAGTATACAATGTTGGTATCCGACAAATTTCTTATTTTGTCGGAAGTTTGGAGATGAATCTGAAGGTGGGTTATGTTTGGGAGGGGCAACTCATTAACTTTCGGACAAGGATATGGGGCATTAACTAGTTCACCGTCGTCCACCTGTAGGCTGCAATTGCATGGCTGTGAATAGGTAAGTTCTTATTACTGTTGAATGCATAACGGATTGTATTAACATTCATAATGCATACATGAATTATGGCTACTGATCCTGATCGTTGCACGTTGTACTGCATTACCTCATCCCCGCAAGTGAATTTAAATTTTTCACCACCTGTAATTGCCAACTTGCCAACGCCTGTACTGCTGTACATTACTTGGCTCGACTCTGCTCAAGTAAGTGGACACCTTTTTTTGCACGAAACACTTATTTGCATTTCATTTGCATAAAAGTTTAGACATTAGAATAGAATGATGAGCCATGCGTACCTTCTGAATCGTAGCATCGTCGCCAGTCAGAATTGCCAAAATACACATATCTGCGCCGCCACCAAGCTCTTCCATGGGAATAAAACAAATGTCTACATTCAAAACAAAATTCCATGTTGTTATTGATTGGTAATTGTAATATTTTGTCATAATTTGTTTCAACCGTTTGTGCACCATCGTTCCATAAACGACGGAACTGTCAATGTTATGTTGCTGGACATCAAGAAATAATTGGAAGGCAGCACAACGGAACAGCGCATGCCCTGCGTAAGGTAGGGAATCGGAGTAATGGCTACTAATTGGAATGCGTCGTTAATTGGGTTGATGGGAAGTTTTAACAAAACTTCGACGCTTGTGTCCAGTTTTACACATGATGCTATCTTCATTTTGAATAGTTTATCGAATGGAACCGAGAGTTCGTAACCACGCAGATTGTTGGTTTCGTTAAGTTTTTGTGCGATCTCTGTGTTGTAGTAAGTCACTGCCGGTATTAATTGATTCCTAAAAAATAAATTTCCAATAGTATCACACACATGTGAAAACAGTTGCGGCTGAACCGTGGGGATCGAGGAACGTAACGCCACAATCTGAACGTCCCCACATGTTCCCACGGGTTCTGCGGCCACTGCATGATAATATATATAGTACGAAATGATGCACACCTGCAGTCAGATAGCACCGACATGAACTTTGAGAAATAGTGGATGATGAAATTATAGCCAGCGATGGACGACGTCGTTAAATCTGGGTTACTTAGGTCGCCAAGTATGTTAACCGAAGTTGAGGTCGAAGCCAATGCAATGTCGTCATCTTGGAACTCGAAAATTAAATCGGTTAGGTACTGGTTCCAATTGTCGGAGGTCAGGAACCACTGACTAAGAGCCTGGGATTGAAGAGGTTCGCCGAACCATCGATTTCTGTAAAAGTAGAATAGAGATTAAATAAGTTACTCAAGCCTAATGGAATCGTAGAGTATAAATTACTCATACTTATTACTTGATACGCCACCAAATAAGAATACTCAAATTTAAACAACGCGGTAATTTAAGCTTCAAGAGCGAGTTCTGTCGCTGTCTATTTATAATTTGAACTATTTTCCAGAAATAAAAGGTCCGGTTGTCAAAATTGTGCAGGTTTTCCTATTTTAATTTGAAAAAGCTGGACATGTTTAATCATGAGGAAAATATTTGAGAAAGTGTCATGGTTGACAAGAGTTTGGTGTTTTCACAAAGCTAAAAACCTGCCTCAAACCCCTGAAACTAAAATTTCATGAAAACTAACTAGGTTTGTAATAAATCGGACAAGCCCTTCTGACAAAACGTTTTTCAAGTTTTAAAAGCAAACTAAAATTATAAAAATTATAGGAGCTCTCCTGCATTATTTGCAATGCATATCTAAAGTTCGAATCATGTTGAATGTAATATGTTTAATAATAAGTTATAAGTAAGATGTTGGCCTTACTGAATATCAATGTGCTTTGCATTGGTTTGAAATGTTGTGGAATCCAGTTCATTGTGTATTTGCACCATAATATTCTGGGTGAGAGCATGCAGATCACACGCAGACGTTCTTCTGGTGCAATTAGCATACATTTCTCCTTGCCGGATTAATACCTCGGTCAAATTTGGATGATTAATTGTGATTAGGAATGGGATCGTGCTCGTAAAAACTGACACTTTTTTCAATTCTTCGATGGACGCGATTAGACAAATTGCAATGAAGTAATTCAAATGGTAAATTGAACATATGCAGCACGTAATTTTAATTGTACATATTGAAATTCGTGTTGCGAATTTCGAAAAACGCTCGAAACGGGTTGTAAGGAATAAAATTAGGAAACTTTTGGTGAAACCCGCTTTCAAAAATATTCTAAAAATTGTTTTTTCTAAAAATCGCAGCCCCTGCGATTTTCTCGAGTTTTAACTCCTCCCACACGGCGAACAGGAGGAGTAGGACCGAAATACTGCTACCGTTGGACTCTTAAAAATCAACTCTACAAACGCTGCTAATCTTATCCAGATCAATTTTTTTATTGTCCGGCCAGATTCCGGTTTATATTATTTTCACTCTATGGTGTTTGAGTTGTTTATCATATTATTAATTATGTTATAGATGAAGCTTAACTTTATCTAAATTATGCTGTTTTCTAAGCCGGATTCGTTATAGAAATTCAGAATAGTTTAGTTGGATATTTCTGGATCACAATTGTGCATCAAATTTCCAGTACGAGGAGCATTTGATTTTTGGCGAACTATGCAGGTCCTGGTTTTTGTTACAGTTAATTTTCAGTGAGTATAGGGTGGATTTATTATATAAATGTTTCACAAAAAAGGCATCGCCAAGTAAACATTAATTCTCAAGTTCACAATTTGTTATTTCCCGTGATTTTAGTATGATATTCTGGACATCAAGCACGATATCCCGGGCTGATATCCATTTCGCGGCCAATTTGTTGGCATAGTCTGTTGGTCCCTTGGATCATTTTCGTGGTCTTGACCGCGGAATAAATGATTATCAACAACAAAATAATGACTGCTGCCCCTATGGCCAGAGTCGTTCCTTCCATTGTGTGGTAGTATTGTAGGAGTGTCGATGTTAACGATGGTGAAGGAGTTGTCGATGGGGTGTTTGCTGAAGAACAATATTTCAAAATAAAAAAACACGCAAGCAAGTATCATATTTAGTTCACTTTATATAAATAGAATTTATCGTAATTTGTTACCTTGACAAGCAGCTAACTGGAGTAGCAGTAAAACAGCCCACATTGTAAAACTTTAGACGTGTCGACAGGTTGTTGCCTCTGAATGAAATGATGATAAACAAGTAACTTAAATTCACATTCACCCTCTTTTTATATCAGCCTGATTCCCCTCACTACAAAGCATTGCAGGGAACGCCGTTCTTAATAAAAGAATAAGTCAGTGAATTTCTAATTGAAATAAATTTGACAGAACAGAAAGTTGTACTTAAAAAGTATGCGGCAGTTAGGTGAGAAATAGGCGTGGCTTTGCTGTGAAGATTAATGTGGAGCTGGGCGATCTCCCAAGCTAGCCATACACTCGTATCAAAAAATATTAGAAAGTTTGACATCCTTTCGGTGCGATTGGTTCAAAGTATAACCCTTGCCAGTTGCTGTTTCATCTTCTCGGTCTCATGTCGTTTTTCAAAGTTATTGGGGACTGGGTGGCTACGGCGGCCACGGATTCGCTTTGTGAGCAATGTTGGCCAGGATGCTGGTAATTTTATCGGCGCAGTGGTGGTAGATTCAATTAATTCGGTTGGCTCGGCGGGCCGGGCCGCGGGGACCTGGGTTAGTGGGGCAGCCGAAGATTCGCTCAATTTTGTGGGTAGGGTGGGACAGGGTTACGGGAATTTGGTGGGTAGAAGCGTGGCACAATCAATTGATTGGGTTGCTGATGCTGCAATATTCGTTGGCGATACAGTTAGTAATAATTGGACGTTATTGGGTCAAGACATGGAAAATTTTGTGGATTGGTTAAATGGAGTGGCATACTCAGTTGAAGAAATCGTGTCGGATGGAATTGGCTTTATGATCACAAGCTTGTAAGTCGATTAAAGGAGGAGGCACCCTTCTTATGGGAAAACTGCCTGCCGTCGAATTTTCTGAATTTTTGATATGTTGTAGACTTCGATGTGCTGAACAAAAGTCTCCATACCCCCGACCCCAGATTTTCGCTGGTTTGACCTCCAACAGAGGTCAAAGGTCAGTATAACTTGGCCATAACTAAGTATATGTAAAATTTTACAAATTTGTCCTGACGTCAGTTGTTGATGGATTTTCAAAATTCCGGATGTTTTGGAAACGTGGGACCGTTGGGCGAAATATATATTTCCAGATTTTTTAAATTCGGCCACACCCCCTATATATTGATGTAATAAAGTATAAAACTGAGATTAATATCTCTAACTAATCATTCAACTCCACATTGAAGTTAAGACAGCATAGTTGCCGATTCTTTGCGTAATTGATTTACATTGTCATGTCATCGAAAAATAGGTCAGAGGGTCACACCCCACTCTAGTGGGGTCCCTGTGGGTGTGGTCCGAACAGGAAGAAATGTATAAAGTCGGTTCCTAGTATTGTTTCTGAAATTAACTATTGTAATCGAGGGTAATTTTGTATGTCTGCCCCACTTGTACACCATGACCTTAATGTGTATGGCGTAGGGGAGAGGGGGTGTGGCTTTTGGCGATTTTGCGACAGTTTTATCAATACCTGGCTTGCGGCACATCATTTTTCTCAGCACACAAAGCCGATTACGACCGCTTGTTCAAAATTTCAAAACCACACCCACTGGGGGTGTGGTCATTGTCGGCTATTTCAATCCAACGCAAGTATCTCATGCGACATAAAATTTTTCTCAGCTCACAAAGCTGATTACGACGGCAAATTAAAAATTTAAAAACCACACCTCTTGGGGTGGGGTCCTTGGCGGCAATTTCAATTTAACACCAGCACGTCAAGCGATATATCATTTTTCTCAATACATCCGTAGAAATATCGCTCCACCTACGCGTTGACCTTCTGTGGTCATATGCATCTAAGGTCAACCGAAAGCCCATCAGAATTCTTATGAACCATATATTTTTCTAAAGTTAATGGCCTCTGGAACAATACACTTGAGGTCTGCCGGTAACCATTTACGTTTCAAGGCGATGTAAAGGCGCATATGTCTACATACAACTGGGACAAAAAGTTTCTGTTGACAACACCTATCCTAGTGGAATTTATAATTCCTACATATTTCAATAAATGTGTCCGTCCGACGAAATCTATATAAGACATTTTTAGTTCGATTTCTACCCTGGAATATTACGGTTAACAATAGCATGTCATGCTGCATAATTTTCAGCGGGACGGAGGAATTGGATGACCGCAAACCATACTCTTGTGGATAAAATCATGTTTTTAAGCCGAGCCCCCTCCTAATATCTAATCGTGGCTACGCTACTGCATTGGGCACATACATACCTTCCATGGCCAATTGCTGCTGCCGCTGGTTCCCAGGATCCTTCGATAAATTTCGAAATAACGGGACAATTAAAGATTTAAGTTTTATGTTTGAAATTTGGCGAGTAAAACAATTTAAATCCCAGTTTCACCACGCGATTCCTCATCACAAAGTACATAAAATACGAAGGTCATCGAAAAATCTCGGGAACCATGACGTATTACCTAGTAAAACGATCCTTCCGATAGAAGGGTTTAAAAGTCACCCAGTCACCAGGACATGACACGAAGAAAATTAAGAAAGCGGCATAAAGTGCATTATCGTACTCAGTTTTGCTGCGTTGCCAATGATTAGATCATTTGGAGAAATATTACGCCGGAATGTTCCACACCCGATTTGCAACAATGAAATCAAAGATGATGATATCTCATAATTGTAAGGCAAATAAATACCAATGCGTACATACGGACTAGATGTACAATTAATTAAACCAAAATAAAGTAAAAATCATAAAATGATAAATTTATTTTTGCTTCAACATTTGCAATATCACTATTACTTACCCCTTGTTTATTATATTATAATTTTGAGAATTTCATTGTCTATCATTTCTTTACCATCACCTCATTAAGCAAAGATCAGTTCAGAAACTTGTACGAGCTGTGTGGGCCTGTGCAAGTTTCTGGACATGATAGAATAGTATATAAAATCGACTTGATCATGTTCCTTTGTAAGCTTAGGCAAGGAATACCTGACGAATTCTTGAAAGCAATATTCCACTACTCGACACGACAAGCAGTCAGCTTGGCGGTGAATAAGGTTAGAGAATCACTTATGAGGGCATTTGTAAGAACTAATCTGGGCCCCGACAGTATGACCCGACAACAATTTATTCATCGACATGTATCAGATTTTGCCAACCAACTGTACAACCCTAACCCGGAAAAACCTCAGGCCATATTGTGCATTGATGGCACATACATTGAAATAGCCACTAGCTCTAACTTTAGAATTGCCCGCCAAAGTTATTGCATGCACAAGAGCTACCATCTTGTGAAGCCAATCATGATAGTTGCACCAGATGGTTATATTTTCGATGTCCACGGCCCGTATTTCTCAGATTCAAAGAACAACGATGCAAAAATCTTAATTGATGAACTCCAGCGTGATATTCGTGGATTTGGTCAGTGGATTCAAGAGGGCGACATCGTCATCGTAGACTACGGTTACCGCGAATCAATCCCGACACTTCAGAGATTAGGAATACGAGCTAAAATACCAAATATTGTGAGAGGAAGAGCCACGCGAGACCAGTTACCTACAGAAGAGGCGAACAATAATAGACTGATCACCAAAAGCCGATGGGTTGTGGAAGCGAGAAATGGTCATTTGAAAAGTGTCTTCAAATTTTTCGCCCATCGAGTGGAATCTCACAACTGTGTGCATTTAGGAGACCTAGTCAGGATAGCCTGTGCACTATTGAATGCCTTCCATCTACCAATAACTATGCCTGGCTACAACGTTGACGAAGCCAAAGAAATGTTAAGAATAGCTGCTCAACCTAACCATCTCATGCAACGTGTTCACGATGAACGTCTAGAAACACGAGCTCCTACTCAATGGTTCCCTATGACTTCAGACCATCTACCAGCTTTCCCACATTTGTCGCTGCAGTATCTACGCGACCTTACTTTCGGAAAGTACCAGGTTAAGCTAGCCCCTGCTTACGTCCAGGATAAGAATACAAGGGACGGCGAGTACCGCTTCGATTTAAGCCGCGAAAGCCCAGGGCTTCTAAGGGCTCAAGTTTATTCCAGGTAGAAATTTTGATAATAATTGTATTACATCATATTGTAAATAACTTGATCAAGTAAGCTTACTTTTTATTCCAATTGTATTTTCAGACACACTCGAGCTGCAAAATACCAACTGTGGATTCAGTTCCACGAGGTACCCTTTGAGGAAGCCTTAGCGGGAGAGCAACTGCCACACCCTCTTCCAAATCCAATTCAAGGTTGGTATTGCCAGTGCAAAACAGGGGCTCGCACCTTGGGAACTTGTTCGCATATTGCAAGTGTACTCTGGTTCATGGGCTGGGCAAGACACCAAGATAAATTACAAGCTCCATCGCATAGTCTCCTAGGCATTATCGATGATGCTGCCCACAGAGACGCTCCGGAGTTATTTGATGATGCAGATGACAACTGACTAACGTAAGTACTGTGCCATCATGTTATTACAATCATCCTTACCAGCAAAGGTGTCCAAACCATTCCTCATAACGATGGATCAAAATAGTTCTAACGGCATCAAACAAAGCCATCAACCGACCATCTCAATTTATAACTTATCCGCTTTGGGTACAAGACACACACCGAGTAGATATAACCTGCTTATAAAAGATAAAGTTTTAAAAATTGGCAAGAAAACTAATTTCGTCATCTTAATCGCATTTGGGCGCCGAGAAAAATGGTATGTCGCATAAAATAGTTCCCAGGAACCACACCCCCAGGGGGCGTGGTTTTGGAATTTTGTATACGCCGTCTTAATCCGCTTTGTACGCTGAGACAAATGATATGTCGCATGAGATACTTGCGTTGGATTGAAATAGTCGACAATGACCACACCCCCAGTGGGTGTGGTTTTGAAATTTTGAACAAGCGGTCGTAATCGGCTTTGTGTGCTGAGAAAAATGATATGTCGCATGAGATACTTGCGTTGGATTGAAATAGCCGACAGTGACCACACCCCCAGTGGGTGTGGTTTTGAAATTTTGAACAAGCGGTCGTAATCGGCTTTGTGTGCTGAGAAAAATGATATGTCGCATGAGATACTTGCCTTGGATTGAAATAGCCGACAATAACCACACCCCCAGTGGGTGTGGTTTTGAAATTTTGAACAAGCGGTCGTAATCGGCTTTGTGTGCTGAGAAAAATGATGTGCCGCAAGCCAGGTATTGATAAAACTGTCGCAAAATCGCCAAAAGCCACACCCCCTCTCCCCTACGCCATACACATTAAGGTCATGGTGTACAAGTGGGGCAGACATACAAAATTACCCTCGATTACAATAGTTAATTTCAGAAACAATACTAGGAACCGACTTTATACATTTTTTCCTGTTCGGACCACACCCACAGGGACCCCACTAGAGTGGGGTGTGACCCTCTGACCTATTTTTCGATGACATGACAATGTAAATCAATTACGCAAAGAATCGGCAACTATGCTGTCTTAACTTCAATGTGGAGTTGAATGATTAGTTAGAGATATTAATCTCAGTTTTATACTTTATTACATCAATATATAGGGGGTGTGGCCGAATTTAAAAAATCTGGAAATATATATTTCGCCCAACGGTCCCACGTTTCCAAAACATCCGGAATTTTGAAAATCCATCAACAACTGACGTCAGGACAAATTTGTAAAATTTTACATATACTTAGTTATGGCCAAGTTATACTGACCTTTGACCTCTGTTGGAGGTCAAACCAGCGAAAATCTGGGGTCGGGGGTATGGAGACTTTTGTTCAGCACATCGAAGTCTACAACATATCAAAAATTCAGAAAATTCGACGGCAGGCAGTTTTCCCATAAGAAGGGTGCCTCCTCCTTTAAGAAACTACCTTACGACCTGGAAACTAAAAAATTGTTTTATGTTTCAGGGATACTTTGATCGAATACGCTCCATTGCTGCTGATTGCATTTGGTTGTTGGATGGTAGTTTGGCTAACCATGCCGCCAACTGGTTCTACAAAGATTCCAGAAAGAAACACTTTACTATTAGAAAATGAAAAGAATGTTTAATTACTACTGATGACGCTGCATAATACTTTGTGTCATAACGCGTGTTCGGAATAAAATAAACTAATCCTAAGATGATTCAAAATAAATCTACTCCGTTCAGTAATTCTGCACTTTTGTGTAAAAGTTATTTTCAAATTTTGTTGAGCCATAATAAGATACATGAACATATTTCTTGGACAAATTCTTTAAAAAAGGAAATCTTAGTGAGCATTAGTGCACCGACTAATAATGAATAAATTTTTCCCGTATCTTAATCAGCAGGGTTTAAATTATCTTATTTCATAAGGGTTGATTGTTTAAAAACTATTTAAGTTATCTTTAACCAGGGATTTTAAATGAAGTCTACTCAAAAGCTTACCTGACCGAAGTTCAAAATACAGAATTAAAGTTATCTGTTGAATCAAAGAAATCAAATGACCTGCAGTTTATTAGTACGTTTCAATTATTGCTTTCCATTGATCATAATTTATAAGGCTATATTTCCATGTGTGCTCCAATTTTAGACCCGAAGTTACAGGTTCTGAAGATGGCGATATTTTATTCAGAGTCAATAATACCTATTGTAATATTTTGTATATATCCACCAGCTACGGTTATGGAGGTGACTTCAATGTTTTTAATCTTTCAAGTATGAAGTGGGAGAACTAAAAATATAGGTGAAAATCATTATGCGCAAATTTTTAAAATTTCCGTGAGTCTGGTAAAAGGGGAAGTGGTTTTATTCAAATCCCACTTTCTCAAAAATACAAGTCTCGCATAACCCGATATGGGATATCATTGGAAAAGCCTTGACGGGAGGATTATATACAGAATATATATACTTTGTGGGGTGTATAACTACCCGTTGATGTTCCAGAGACAGAAGAACGAGAAATCTCGATTTTACAGAATTTAACACAGCAGTAGATTGGAGGCTAACACGGCAATAGATGGGCACAAATTCAAAATATTCTTCCACCTCTGGAACATCAGGGAGTGGTGCCAGACCCCACAAAGTATATATATTCTGAATCCTCTGATCGAGACCTTTCCAATGATGCCTCATTTACGGGGGTTATATGAGACTTGGATTCTTTAGGAAAATCTACACTCTGTCAGGGTGATCATGACTTAATTTCGAAAAAAAGTTCCTTGTTTGTACTATCCCAAGGTAGTGGAATTTGGAGCAGGTAGGTGGAATAGCAGCGGCGCAAAAGTGGGATCTCAATGAAAGCCACTCTCCCTCCTACCACGTCCACGGAAATTTTAAAAATTCGTGGATAATTATTTGTTCCAACATATTTCCTTCCATATTGTAGGTAAGGTCCACTACCACATATCTACTTGAAGGATTTAGAAAAATGTTTTCTGAGGTCACCTCCATTACCATTGCTTCTGGAGTAACCCAGAATCAATTAATATATTTGTAATATAGATTCAAAGTTTAAAAATAAAGGCAATCTAAAATCAGCAAGTCAACAATATTTCGCTATGGATTATTACGTATAATCAAATTCATTAATTTCTCGAAAAATTATATTCAAAGAATTCCTTGTGTTGAAAACATTTCTCGATTTTGGTTTAAAATTGAGCGTTTTTTTGCGAAGTTGCAGCGCCCGTAATTACACTCTAATTATGCATAAGTGGTTGGATTTGTGGCATCGGTTGAAATAAATATTGCTTAAAGGGCTGGCCTTTTAAACTATACTGTTCAAAACATAATCAGGCTTGACAATGGTTTGCGCCTCCAACGTGAGTTTTAAAAAATAAATTCTGTAACATTTTTTTTGCATTTGGTCAAGCTGTCGAAAATCAGCGAGCTGCAATAAATATTTTGGATCAGATTAGTAATTAAAAAAATTCTGCTAGCATACCTACCATGGGTGTGCGAGGTTTGTTGGTTTGATGTTTTTTTTGCACATGCAATTCGACACGCCGTGTAAATAAATACAAATAAATTCAAAGTATGTAGTTGAAAACTTGGGGACAATATGCATAAATCTCTGATTTGCTTAAGTTTAAAATATGAATAAACCTGAATCGACGAAGTCGCAATAGTCAGACCAGCATAATACGAGGGTGGACCAGTAAAGAGCTGGAATCGAATGAGGGATAAGGATTTGAACCAAAAATATTGCATGATAACATACCTCGAACACATTTTGGAAGTTGTGATTTTTTCGACTTCCTAAGTTTACTATATCGGCTACACTGAATCTTCAAAATTTAAAATATGGCGAAAAACCCAACCAGATTTTCACACGTGAAGAATCGTCAAACTATCTTTGGAGTCGAGTATCGTCTATTCGCTCTGACATATATTTTGAATGCACATTTTTTTGCAGTATTTAGACACGAGAAAAAATACTACATGTACGATGGAATGCACTCAGACCGGCTTTTTGATTTCAAAGAACCTAAAGCTGGAGCGATTATCAGTACCCTTTGGTACACTATGCAGATGTAAACTGTCCTGTTCACACATGCCAAGTTACAGGAATACGGCCAAGATTTTCATCTTCAACCAAATGCAATTTGTCGCTATACTTCCAGAGATTGTTTTAATTGTATGTATTGCCTTTGTACTATTGTCTTCTATACTCCTGAAAAATCTTCATCTTAGGTTTTCAAATTTCAATAAATTTCAATAAATAATAAGGTTTAACTACAAGAAATAACTTTTTTCAAACGTTAACCAATTCAAAATTAGAATTTCCATAAGCATATTTACCATCATACAATGTTACCGTAACTAGAGTGATATCACACGATATCTTTGGAGGTGGTCCGAAACATTTGAGGTAACGTGAGGCGCTGTTTGGGGGTGGTCGGGGACATTTGGGGTAACGTGAGACGGTATTTGGGGGTGGTCGGGGACATTTGGGGTAACGTGAGACGGTATTTGGGGGTGGTCGGGGACATTTGGGGTAACGTGAGACGGTATTTGGGGGTGGTCGGGGAAATTTGGGGCAACGTGAGACGGTATTTGGGGGTGGTCGGGGAAATTTGGGGCAACGTGAGACGGTGTTTGGGGGTGATCGGGGCCATTTGGGGTAACGTGAGACGGTGTTTGGGGATGGTCGGGGAAATTTGGGGCAACGTGAGACGGTGTTTGGGGTACCCTGAGAATTTGGGAGGGGGGCCGGGGGGGTTTAAAAATAAATGGGCATTCCGATAACTGCTAGGGTGACAACCGATAAGGGTGATAACCGATAATTCCGATATCTGATATCTGACAACTGCTCGAGGGTGACAACCGAGGTGATTTCCGACAACCGACGGGGGTGATTCCGACAACCGATATCACATCCAACACGGTCAAGAGCGACGTAGGCAAAAAGTATGAAGAAGAAAAGGCTGAGCTAAAAAATGCGCTACTGGTAGGGTTTCTAATAAAGACTTTTTATAATTATTAAGTTAATTGTTGGATCTTAACTTAATTAGTTAATTTGTAATAGAACTCGACCGGCAAGATATCATTTATCGTCGATGGATGGA